CGTTTTTGAGTTTTTGTCAAGGCCGGAAAGTGAGGATTGTACATCTCCGGTTCAGATAGGAACACTCGTTTGAGTTTAATCCGACACTTGTAAAAAATAGATCAGGGTAGGAAGCGTCAGATATTTTCACAAGCGGCATAAGCAACCGACTATTTTCCCATCTGCTTTAGCGATAGACCGTGTATACGAGAATTACGGTTTGGGGGTGATGTAGAACCCCAAAGATGTTCAAAGCAAGATCTTCACTGAGAGAGAAAGTGTTCTTCATGACTGGAGAATGTTCAGCTTCTGAACGGTGATCTTGGGACGTTACTAGCTTTGTTTTCGGGGCTATTGAATGTTGCAAGTCATGTTTTCTATTAAACTATATAAACAGATAATACAATAAAGAATCCATGAGTTGGGAGCTGTTTCGACAATATTCATTTGAGCTGTTCACACGCTATTGAATCCCTGGTCTTCTGACCTGTTAGGACGATATTGAATCCATAGTATTTCGAGATTTTAGGACGATATTGAATCCATGGTCTTTTGAGCTGTTAAGATGATGTTGATTCTCTGGCCGTTTGAGCTCTTACGATGATATTCAATTTATGATATTTTGAGCGGGTAGAACGATATTGAATCCATGGTCTTTGAAGCTGTAAGGAAGATATTCATTTTATGACCTTTTGTGCTGTTAGGACGATATTGAATCTATGGTCTTTTGAGCTGTTAGATTTTAAGATAGAACAATATTGAACCTATGATCCTTTAAACTGGTCGGGCGATATTGAACCCTTGGTCCTTTAAGCTGTTAGATCGATACAAAATCCTTTGTTCTTTGAGCTGTTGAATCTATAATCTTTAGAGCTATTAAATTTTAAGATTGGACGATATTAAATCTATGATATTTTGAGCTGTTAAAACGATTTTGAATTGTCTTTTGACATGATAGGACGATATTGAAACTATGATCTTTTGAGCTGTTAAATTTTAAGATAGGACGATATTGAAACTATGATCTTTTGAGCTGTTAAATTTTAAGATAGGACGATATTGAAACTATGATCTTTTGAGCTGTTAAATTTTAAGATAGGACGATATTGAAACTATGATCTTTTGAGCTGTTAAATTTTAAGATAGGACGATATTGAAACTATGATCTTTTGAGCTGTTAAATTTTAAGATAGGACGATATTGAAACTATGATCTTTTGAGCTGTTAAATTTTAAGATAGGACGATATTGAAACTATGATCTTTTGAGCTGTTAAATTTTAAGATAGGACGATATTGAAACTATGATCTTTTGAGCTGTTAAATTTTAAGATAGGACGATATTGAATCTATCGTATTGTTGTGGATTCCGTGAATGGAATCCTGCACAAATAAATAAACAACGCCAGTAATTGAGATAGAAAAATAATTGTACTAAAGACTTGAAGTGAAGATTAGTAGTCCAGGAATGCGGGTTAGTAGAAAGTATATGTACAAGTCTCTGTAAGTAAAGCCGTAATCATCTCTACCTCTGGACTCTTGTATAACTCTCTGAGAACACCCTGTGTCTGTCTCCATATCTCTCAACCTGTCTCAACGTACCTCCACGTATCTCACGTATCTCGGTATTTAATATCCCACCCACGAGGAATATATGTGGCACAAGGCCGAGTGGGTTTAAAGTGGGTTTCTCCGAGCCCGTAGGCTTGGCCAAAAATATACCCTTTGAACACGCCTAGGCCGGTTCAGGGCCTGCCTACCTCCCCGGGCGAAACCTTGCCCTTCGGGAAAGCTTCGTCCGGATTCCTCTCTGGCAAAGCAGAGAGTTCGACAGACATCGAACACAGTGAGAGAATGTATGTCGACGTATCTCAACAGCAGGTATTCTCCCTGTCAGTATAGTTATACTTTGGACAAGTCCATCTTATGTAAAAATGGGAGTGCCCCACAACACGCATTTTGAGCTGTTAGGACGATTTTGAAACTATGATCTTTTTAGCTGTCTAGACTAAACTGAATCCAATGTCTTTTGAGCTGTTAGGACAATATTGAATCATTGGTCTTTTTAGCTGTTTGGACTAAATTGAATCCATAGTCTTTTGAGCTGCTCCGATGATATTGAATCTTTGGTCTTTTTAGCGGTTAGGACCAGATTGAATCTATGTTCTGTTAAATTTTAAGATAGAAGGATGTTGAATGTATGATCTTTTGAGCTGCCAGGGCAATATTGAATCTACGGTCTTTTGAGTTGTTATAACGATATTAAATCTATGATCGTTTGAATCAGTAGAGACGACAGGATGGTACTGAATTCATGTTTTTTTTCGTTCTGTTAGATTTTATGTTAGGCCTATAACGAATCCATAGTCTTTTGATGTTTATTTTTTAAATAAATTCGTTCCAAATAAATCCATATTGCTACTTCTATTGAGGTCTATTGGTAGTAAAAAAGAATGAAATATACTTTAGAAGAAAATGGTTACCTAATCCTAAGCCGGAAACAATGGATACACCTTTACTCTGTTCATATTTCTAAAATATTGTAATGTAATTATTTACACTATTTACATTGTTCGGACTGTTGTCCTCATTTTTATTGCCATATTCACCTTCAACTTCTGTCTATATTTCTGAGATGAGGTATTGTAATTATTTACATTGTTCGGACTGTTGTACTCATCTTTGTTGCCATATTCACGGCGTTTCGGCCGTTGAACTCAATACGATCGTTGATACAGTTCACAATTTATAGAGAAAATGACCACAAACTCGCATTCCTGTATTTACTAGTATCTCGAACAGAACAGGGTGTTCAAGACATCTGTATACCACAAGCCAACATTCACGGGACAATAACTCAACTTCAATTCCCACCACTCATACAATATAAAGAAAATAATCGCCCGCTGCTTACAACATCGACCAAAAGTCATAAATGGCGACCTAGAGATAAATGATCAAGAAATGGTCAGTCTAAGCAGTATCCTACAACATAACAACTGCCCTGAGTACATGACAGCAGCTCTGACAAACTGGGATAAAAGGGTAAAAGAGAATAACAACACCCATAAAACAGATTCGGTCTGCTTAGTATGTGTGAAAGGATTATCGTAAAAAATACAAAAGATCTATGGTCCATATAACATCAGGACGACCTTTAAAAGTGGTTCAACACTTTGCAGATGCCTCTTTCGAGTAAGACCCCCCCGTAGAGGAGAACATGATTAAGGACTGTGTGTACGCCATCTCCTGCAGCTGTGGTAAGAAATATAAAGGAGAAACAGATCGCTTCTTCAGGTAAGACTGAAAGAACATCGTTAAGTGGTAACACGAAGGGAAACAGAAAAATCAGGCGTAGCTGACCGCATATGGAGAGAAAAGGGAGATCACTGCCGTCAGGGACGAGGTTGAAATAATAGACAGAGAACATCACTGGAAAATACGAAAACTTAAGGAATCAGCACATACGCTAGGCCACAGATATCTCGGTCAAGCATAGAAATGAATATGGAACCAGTAATAAGGAGTGCTAGAGATAAACAATAATAACAAAAAATTGCAATATGAGCTCTGGTAAAAATGGTTACTGAGACATTAAGTTTATTAGTCCCCAAAATTCAGACCCTGATATTCTCAAGGACACATGGCCCAATGGATAAAAGCGTTGGACTTGACCCAAAGATTTGTGAGTTCAATACCTGACTACTGCAGTTCTGAACAAAACCTTGGACAATTGAAGTAAAGGAAATAACTAAGACATCCGGAAGAGGCATGGCACATGGAAATAGAACAATCTACCCCGTTGGTCAAAATAGAGAGTTCAGTTCGAAATTCCAATCACCTGAAGAAGGCCGGAAGTTACAACATCCGAAACGTTGTGATAAATATGGCAACAAAGATGAGGACAACAGTCTGAACAATGTAAATCGTATAAATAAACCTCTACTCCTGTTCAAAAGGCCATGGAGTTGTGTGAATCGGACGTTAGGCGAACCTATCTCCTTCTATTTTACCTATATTCATTTTATTTTAAGAAAACATTTTTCTATTGTTCCTTTTGGTGCCATGGAAACTAAAAATAATGTACGTGAATGAATAGTTTCATGAATATGAACAATGAAAGGCGTCAATATCAGGAAAAATTATCACTTTCATCTTTTATGTAGAACTAGAATCAAAAACCAGAAAGAATGCAAAAACATATAGAGAGAAATAATGTGGAATATGAATTGACAAAATGTAAAACTACAAAACAAAGAAAAAAAACTATTCAAGTGCATTACATGAGGCGAATCACTTTAAAAAAAATGAACAAATAAAACACGAGCGAGAGAGAGATAAATAAAAACACAGAGAGAGAGAGGGGGGAATTAAAACAGAGAGAGAGAAAGAGAAGCAAAAGTAGAGAGAGTGAGAGTGATAAAAATGCAGCGAGAGAGAGAGGGAGGGAGGGGAAATAAAAGCAGAGAGAGAGAAAAAAATAAATGCATAGAGAGAGAGAAATAAATACAGAGAGAGAGAGAGAGAGAGAGAGAGAGAGAGAAATAAAAGCAGAGAGAGAGAGTAATAAAAGCAGAGAAAGAGAAAGAAAGGAGAGAGTGAACTGAAGCATAAAGAGAAAAATAAAAGCAGAGAGAGAGAGAGAGAGAGAGAGAGATGAAAGCAGAGAAAAGAGAGAAAAATAAAGATTGAGAGAGAAAAAAAAAAAGCAGAAAGGGAGAGAGTGAAATAAAAACACAGAGGTAGATATATAGGTAAAAGAAGAGAGAGAGATAAAGAGAGAGAGAGAAAAAAACTTTTATATATATCGATATCTATCTATCTATCTATCCATATATATATATATATATATATATATATATATATATATATAAGAAGAAAGGAGAGCGAGAGAGAAATAAAAGGAGTGAGAGAGAGAAAAATAGAAGCAGAGAGAGAAATAAAAGCAGAGTGGGAGAGAAATAAAAGCTGAGAAAAAATAAAAGCATAGAGAGAGAGAGAGAGAGAGAGAGTGTGAAAGAAATTAAGAGAGAGATAGATAAAAGCAGAGAGAGATAATAAAAGCAGAGAGAGAGAAAAAAATAAAAGCAGAGAGAGTCAAATAAAAGCAGAAAGAGAAATAGAGAGAGAGAGAGAGAGAGAGAGAGAGAGAGAGAAATAAAAGCAGATAGGGAGATAAACAATAGTAGAGAGGGAGTGAAATAAAAGCTGAGAAAAAATAAAGCATAGAGAGAGAGTGAAAGAGAGAAATTAAGAGATAGATAAAAGCAGAGAGAGAGAGAGAGAGGGAGAGAGGGAGAGAGAGAGAGAAATAAAAGCAGAGACTGAGTGAATTAAAAGCAAAAAGGGAGAGAAATAAATGCAAAGACAAATAAATAAAAGTAGAGATGGAGAAAAAATAAAAAGCAAATATACAGAGACAAACAGAGAGAGAGAGAGAGAGAGAGAGAGAGAGAGAGAGAGAGAGAGAGAGAGAGATTAAATTGCTCCAATGAAATGTAAACGTCACATGATGCTTCAAGTATTCATCTTAATTCATATTTTTAAATCGTCTTTTTTGCCTTGCCAAATAAACAGTGAATGATTGCTACACTTGTGTGCCTAATACAAGTGAGGTCTTAATAATCGTGATTTGGGGACTGAATTTTTATCAATCTATTGATATAAAACAGATGATTCCCGTGTGACTGTCTGTGTAATACCTTTTCACTTAAGATTCATTCAACTGATTTTGACCAAACATGGCAATACATTGTACAACGTAAGAGATAGGTTCTTAGCGTAAAAAATCGATATTTTTTTAAAAATCAATAACCGATAAAGCCGATCAAAAATCGATAAAGCCGATCAAAAATCGATAAAGCCGATCAAAAATCGATAAAGCCAACTTTTTTTTCTTCGATTTCATTCAAACTCGGTATGTAGGTTACTTGCATCATGCGGAGCTCAACGATACCTCATTTTTTATTCCCACGCCACTGCTTTTAGCGAAAAACGAAAAATCTGTTTCAACACAAATTTTAAACTAAAACTCCCCTTAATTTTCAAGCAATCTAATACAAACTTCACTCAATTGTAGCCAACAATACTTTGATTGTTTAATAGTCATTTAACTTGATAATTGAGTTCACCCATTTAGTGGAAACCAGCGTAAATAGCGAAAAATGGCGATTCTTACTGTTTTTTTTTATTTTTCGTTGATCTTTCAACCAATTTTCATCAAACTTAACAACTGCTTTATAAATGTATCATCTTTTTACTTCCCTGGAAACACACTGACAAATTGAATTTCAAAAACTCCAAAATAATTGTGGTCTGAAGTGGGTCTTCATGTTGCATGTTTTACCCCTTCATGTCCTCGGCTAACTTCGATTGAATAAATACAGACTACTTCTTTTATATCAGTATCTACATTAATTCAAAATGTTTTTAATGAAAACACTTTAAAGTAATCGAAGAATATAGACTCTGTTAAATTTAAAAATGATGCTGTTTTTGCTCCATTCTAATTGAACGCTTTTTTCTGATCGACCAGCTGGGTATAGCTGCTAGTCCCTGATAAGCTGGGTATGGCTTCTAGTATGCAATAAACGAAGACATTTTAATAGAAATGAGCGTTAAAAAATCATTTCAATGGTGAAAAGTAAGAAATTAATAAATGGGAGGTGTTTAGCCGGGTGGAGTTGGAAAAATTCCGAAAAAGAAAACAAAAATTTGGTGAGATAGTGGTTGTGAGTTCAATCCCTGTGTCGGACAGTGCTTACATGAACTCAGTGGACCCGAGAGAGCAATAACTGAACAATATTAAAGAACTAGACGACATCCCTAGATATAAAAAGTGGAATGAGAACGTCTACCCTTGTAGATTAAATAAAGAATTAAAATTAAAGAGTAAAATAATAAAGGAAAAAAAACAATAGAGACATTATATTCCCTATTTACATTATTCGAACTATTGTCCTCATCTTTGTTGCCATATTTATCACATATTTATCCCGTTTCGGCTGTTGTACGCTCTGGCCATCTTCAGGTGGTTGGAATGTCGAACTGAACGCTTTATTTCACTCGCTGGGGTAGACTGTTCTAGTTCCACGTGTAATGTCTAATGGATGTCAGTTATCAGTTATCTCCTGTTAATTCACCTCTCCAAGTTCTCCATTGCCTTAAGAAGGTATTAAACTCATAAATCTTTGGGTCCTGTCACTGGAGATCTAACCAACGAATTATCCACTGTGCCATATGAACTTAATACCTCATCTCATAAATATAGACAATATTATTTTCATTTGGAATAAGTCAAATTTTCCCTCAGTTATGGGTTAAATAGTAGGATAGTGGTTCACTAGTCTTGGACAGCAACCAGTCTGGGTGAATTATTCGAAAGTCGATGGTCAATCGAATGAATTAGGGCGACGCTTTAAACGTGACGAATGAAGAGGCAGAAAGCGGCCATGTTAATGGAAGACATAATGGGCGAAAAATCTCGAACAATAAAAGAGGCTAAAAATCATGAAGGGAACACACACTGTTATCGATTACTTTAGTAGGCAACAACAGAAAGAAAGCTGTAATGGCCGTCGTAGATATATATTGATCTTTCGATGTCACATGTCGTATTTCAGCGGGAATTAAACCTGGGTCAGATTAAACTACCTTATTTGATTGCATACAGAAACAAATTAAAAGAAATGTACGGTACAGGCAGAGCTTCTAAAATTGAATCCTTTCCACAAATAACAGTAAATCCAAGAGCTACTGTTTTTAATTTAGTAAGCTGATATATTATTATAGGTAAAATATCCACTACTTTATATAAATATTGTTGAGGGGTCCACCCCTTTTTACACAAATGGACTCACCCAGTATATACATATACTACGGCTACGTGAAGACCCGAGAGAGCAAGACAGAGTCGAGTCGAGTCCAGAGTGACAGCGTAAAAGGTTGTAGGTAACCGGAAGAGTGAGGGTGAGGTAACAGCGTTGTAGGAGTCACAGTGATCGAGCACGTAGACTCAGTAAGAAGTCATACAGTGATACTTCAATACCAAAGACTGTATATATATTTTGCTACTAACCCGTATTCCTGGAACTACTAACCTGCTTTACCAGTTTGTATTATTACGTTAATACATTATTTTCCTATATTCATTCCTGGCGTTTGTTATTAATTGGTACCCGATTTCTACCCGGAATCCACAACAAATATAATATAAAATAATGGTGAACAGAGCAAGCAACATTAGTGAAAGCCCCCAACCATGGACAGCAAACCACTAAAGGAAGTATTCAGCGTCAAATACAGGATGTTCGGACTAAATTTGACAGAGTTTAAGGTTTTATTTTTTCAAATTTGTATGGAATATCTGTAAACAGTGAAGGGCATTGTGAAACTATTTACATTACTCGGACTATTGTCCTCATCTTTGTATACAAGAAATTAAACAAGTAGAAATATGTCAACCTGCCTGCTACACGTTGAAAGTTAATATAGATGCTCCTTTGGTTTAATACTGCTCTTACTATCTGTCTATATTTCTGAGATGAGGTATTATGTACACTATTTACATTATTCGGACTATTGTCCTCATCTTTGTAGCCATATTTATTACAACATTTCGGCCTTTCAGTATCTGTCTATATTTTTTAGATGAGGTATTATGTACACTATTTATATTATTCGGACTATTGTCCTCATCTTTGTCGTCATATTTATTACAACGTTTCGGCCGTTGTACGCTCCGGCCTTCTTCAGGTGGTTGAAAGTTAATATAGATGGTCATTGGTTTAATACTGCTCTTTCTATCTGTCTATATTTCTTAGATGAGGTATTATGTACACTATTTATATTATTCGGACTATTGTCCTCATCTTTGTCGCCATATTTATTACAACGTTTCGGCCGTTGTACGCTCCGGCCTTCTTCAGGTGGTTGGAATGTCGAACTGAACCCTTTATTTCGCTCGCTGGGGTAGACTGTTTTAGTTCAAAGTGCCATGTTTAATGGATATCAGTTGTCAGTTATCTCCTGTTAATTCTCCCTCTCCAAGTTCTCCACTGCCTTAACCGGGTATTGAACTCACACTCTTTGGGTCCTGTCACTGGATCTAACTAACGCCTTTATCCACTTTGCCATGTGTACCTCATATCAGAAATATAGACTGGCATTGTGAAACGTAATCAGGACAGTTTTAGAGGTGTCAAAGTTAACTGACATGGACCAGTGGAAGCCATCTGAATATTTGTGCAAGGGGAAAGGTCAACATGAAGATTTATGAGGGACATTAAAATGCCGTAATCATGACAGTTGCTCAACGCTCTTTGAACACGATGAAAACAATAGGACGTGAAATGGAGCGCTGCAGCGGTGACTACGAGACCGGGACTTGTAGGAAAGAACACAGCAGGGGTTCTGATTGCCTCCGTACACCAGAATTCATCCAACAACTGCCGGAGAAAATGATGAAAGACCCGGGCTTTGGTTTAGGAAATGTTGCAATTTCCACCATGAAGCTGGCATTGAATAAGAATCTCCGCTAACAAGACTTGTAATGGTTAACTTCTCTTAGAAGAGGCTCGAAAAAACCGTCTAATAGTAACAAAGAAACTGCTAAACAAGGCTAAACATCCTGTTGAAACAAGGACAATCTGGTTCGCCTCTGATCAAAATTTTTGTCCGGACAAGTTGCACAACAACCACAACAATAGATGGCTTGCCCACAATCCATATAACCTTCCTCATGTCATGAAGACCAATTATCCCCTAAACTCTGATGTTTTTTTTTTGCGTCTACAGTGATGGTGATGTCATGCTCCCTTACATCTTTGAACAGGGTCTAAGGCTCATTTCGGATGGCCATGTGGAGTTGCTGAACACTATGGTCAAGCCTTGGTTGGAGAGGGTGGATGCTGGAAAATCATGTTTGGCAGCAACATTCAGCTCCCTGCCATACCTCCAAGAAGAATCAAACGTTGTAACATAATTTTTACGACTACACCAGCCCCAACGTCTGGCTTCCTAACTCACCTGATCATAGTCCTATAGATTATGTGTGGGCATGGTTGAGAAAGGCATCAACCACACTGCCTGTAACACCAAGACCCAGCTGATCAACGGAATTAAAGAGAAGTTTGAGGCTCTCCCCAGGGATACTGTAAAGGCCACATGTACCAGATTCCGGAGTTGGATCGATGATAGATGGTAAAGGTGGCTTCTTTGAGTGAATTGTCTGTTGATTAACCTGTATGCCATCTTTTCTATTTTTCCAATAAATGGATTTTTGTCTGACATGACAGCTGCAATGCAGAAATCTGCTCACTGATTGCCACAGCCACAGCAGCGATGGCCAGACTGGAAAGGATGTGGAAGAGCAACATCAGCTTCCATGCCAAGTTCAAGCTCTACACTTCGCTGGTCGTATCAATCCTCCTCTACGGATGTAAGATTTGGGCATTCCTGCTTGGGGCAGAAAAAAAAAGGATGCGTTCGAGAACAAATACTTGAGAAAGCTTCTCCGCATCTTCTACTGGGAGCACAAAACCAATGAGTATGCATGATACAACGTCAACGGTCTTGTGGGCCGACAGAAATCTCTCCTCGCAACGATTAAGAGGCAGAAGATGGCATGACTTGGTTGGTTGGGTTTTATGGCATATCAACCACTGTAGGTCATTTAATGCCAAATCTAGTTATATATATACATACATACATACACATATATATATTAAATATGTAGTACTATTAAACGTATAGCTGTCAACATTATTTTTCCAAAAACGTATAGCTGGCAACATTATTTTTTCAAAAACATTATCAGAGGCCTTGCTGTTGGACGTAGTTTATTATTATACCCAGGACGCGGATGCAGTTTATCATCATACCCAGGACGCGGATGCAGTTTATCATCATACCCAGGACGTGGCATGACTTGGGCATGTCACACGGCATAATAGCCTCTGTAAGACCATCGGGCAATGCACTGTTAAAGGCGGACGCTGATGGGGACGGCAACGCAAGAGTTGGTCAGACAACATCAAAGATTGAACGGACATGCGAATCCCGGAACTCCAGAGAGCCACCGCCAATAGATCACCCTAGAGAAGGTTGTCTGTTTCATCTGCGATTAGGACACACCCACCAACGATAGAAGCAGTCAAAGGACTGATGATGATGATGATGATGATGATGATGATGATGATGATGATAACGTAAATAAATTAAGGAGAAATTTAATACCTTATATATTACTCCAGACAGTCGGTACCATAAGAGAGGTTAATATAGGCAAATTTCGTTGTAAGGCAAGAGGCTGAGCGGCCACTGATAAGTGATAGGGCAATTTCAGAGTCAAAAACGTTGTTGAATGCATCTATCTATCTATCTATCTATCTAATACTAAAAGTCTGTTATTTGTGCTTGCGTGGTGCGTCGTCCGTCAGGCGCATAATAATGATTTAAGTTTCTTTCCATCTCTTTCTTTCCACCTCTCTCTTTTCACCTCTACCTTTCCACCTCTCTATATTTCCATCTTTCCCTTTCTACCTCTCTCCTTCCACCTATCCATTTCCACTTCTCTCTTTCCATCTCTTTGTGATTGCGTGCGGCGTCCGCCCGGCGCATAATTATTTAAATTAGTCTGATTTAAGTGAAAAAGAGTTCAAAATACGAGTTGTTTATACAGTATTTCAACTTTCTTAAAAAAGACAATTTTTTTTTATTGTTGAAATCAACTACAGTGATTTATAAGCTGAACCGTCAGTGACCCAACGCGTCACGGATAGTCTAGTAAAAAATAAAACTGAGAACGTCTTTCTTGGTTTAAAACTCCTAAAATACAAACTGTAGCGATATGTAGATTAACTAATTAACATAGCCGGAATTCCAGGCTACATAACGACAGAGATTATGAGGAAGGCGGTATTACGTATCAGCGTCAAAATAATCCTGACCTTTGGTTAGTATTGGGGTTCATTGAACATTAGCCCAAACTCCAGGGGCTTTTCCTCCCAGGCAGTACCTCTCCCGCAGGAAGGGGCTGGGTTTATTGCCCAATGCTTGACGTGTTCACAAAAGGGGAGTGCCGATGGGTCTTGGGAAAATTTTCTCAGTGCGGCCGATAGACCCACTTTAAACCTTGACTTTGTGTCACATCCGGTTGGGACGTGGGCGAACGTGTAGATATCACTATGCTAATCCTGACCTTTAGTTGGGATTGGTGTTCATTGAATATTAGCCCAAGCAGTACCTCTCCTTCGGGAGGAGGCTGGGTTTATTGCCCGGCGCCTGAAGTAATAAAGAGAGGGTGAGAAAATGGAGAATAAAGAAAAGTGGAAGGGAAGATAAATGAAAATGACGAAAAAGGAAATAAGAAAAAGAATAAAAAAGAGGAAAGAAAGGGTCAAAGATCAAAGGAAAATGAAAGTGAAAGTAAAAGATTAAAATAAAAGCGAAAGTAGGAAATTGGAAAGAAAGTGAAAGTAGAAGAAAGCGATAATAAAAAAATGAAAACGACAATAAGAGTTGAAAAATGAAAATGAAACCGAAATTAGAAAAAGGAAAATAAAAGCGCGCGCAGAAAAAAAGAAAAAAGTAATTATAAAAACAGGAAAAGTATAAAAAGGAGAGAAATGGACATATAGAAAAACAAAAATTAATGAAAATAACAGAACAGGAAATAATGGAAAAGAGAACGAAAATGAGGCAGATAAATGAAACAGATAGTAATGGAGATAAAGAAAACAGAGAAACATAGAGGAAAAGAAAAGAAAAGGATAGAGAGGAAAACATGATAAAGAAATAAGAAGAAGAAGGAGATCAAGGGAAAAGGAAAAATATTGAAAAAGGACAGGGAAAAACATAAAGAAAACAGTGAAATATTATGAAGAAACGGGCAATGGAAAAAGGAAAATGAAAGTAAAAGTAGAAACGGTACAAGGAAAGCGAACGTCGAATAAAAAAAATGAAAGTGAAAGTATTAAGCGAAAACGAAAGTGAAAGAAAAATAATAGGAGGAACGATAACAAATCCAAGTTGAATACGAAAATTGAAGAAAAATGATGATAATGTAAAATGAAAAGAAAAAGAAATAGAATAATAAATAATACCTTTCTCAATTCTTTAATAAAATGAGAATTTTTACTTTCTCTGTGAATTTGGTTTCGCCTGTTATTCTGACATTTCTGAAGGTCATTTTATGATCAGTGTTGTAAGCCCGTGCGTTAACGACATGTTATGATTGCAACCCACGTCTCAATAGCCGTGTTGCATATTAAAAAATTTGGTCGCTTTGTTCACGCCTGTTACATAAATTCCATTTTCTGAAGAAAATCTTTCTCTTGGATATTTAAAGATTTTTTTTCTGCTGTCAGTTTATTACATTGAAACTACTTTAAAAGCAACCACCGCCACCACCATTACCGTCTTCTTCTTCTTCTTCTTTGAGAAATGCCCTTTCGTTTTCCTTTTCTAGCTTTCCTTGTCTACTTTCGCTTTCATTTACCCAGTTTCTCTGTCTTTTTCCTTCTATTTTTTTCTTTTTTTCTCTCGTTTTCAGTGACCTTTTCCTCTTTCGCTTTTCCTTTATACCCATTTCTCCCCCTTTTATTTTATTACTTTTCACCGCTTTTCCTCTATCAATATTTCCCTCTTTTTCTGCCCGGTTCCCACTCCTCCAGTTTTTTTGAACAGGAGTAGAGGTTTATCCCTTGTTCCCTCTTCAGAATTGGGTTTCCGGATCCTTCTAGAGTCTGTTTCAGCTCCGCACTCCTAACGTCTGCGCCTGAACTCTACAATTTTATTCACTATTTATTTTCTCTTCTCTATCGCTAGGCTCACATATCACCCAGTTCACACTCCTCTTCGGTTTTTGAACAGGATTAGAAGTTTATGAATTATTTCCTGTTTAGGATTGGGTTTCTGGTTCCTTCTAAAGTCTTCTTCAACTCTATACGCGTAACGCTTATTCTTTCCTACGCTAATATATGTCCACACAATAACCCTCTAACTTGAGTGGCTCTTGGTCCTTGCATTGGGTGAATATTAGTAAAAATATTGCTTTCTTTGTTGCAGTTTTTTGTGTATATATGTAACTCACTAGTTACATATATATACGAAAAACTGCACCCCCCTTATTTTGGGTATATTATGGAATCTTCCTTCAAAATATTAGTAAAGTCAATAATATGTAACAAATACTTTAATATATTTTGAATTTTTTTTTTAGCATTCATAAAATACATTTTATTTTATTATTTTTTATTTATTTATTTTTTTAAAGAAAATTAATATCCACAAAAATTAGTCATATAACTTTGTCCACAGTTAAGTATTCAGGTTAATAAACATTAGCAATAATATTATAAGTTTGGGCTGTGATCACAACAAAAAAGTGGAAAGAATTGTTACTTTACCCATAGCTGGGACCCATTAAAACAGTCACTATCACTCCGGGTCAGAGTGATCCTGAGAGTCACTAAAAAGTGAAAAATTGTTATTTTACCCATAGCTGGGACCCATTAAAACAGTCACTATCACTCCGGGTCAGAGTGATCTTGAGAGTCACTAGAAGAGGATTGGGTCAAAAGTAGGACTATTTACATTTATACCCCGAAGCTAAGGATTCGCATTCATTGAGTTAGCCCAAATGACTTGACTCACTTTATAGTCCACCAATAGAAGGTTAACCAATCAGAAGACGTAGAACATTCAATCCGTCGTGTATAAAGGCGGCCATTTTGTTTACTCTACCCGAATGTCCAGTCCAGTTTGTCAGGCGAAGAGATAACAGAAGTACGAACTATGCTCTGCTACTATTACCAAAATATCCACTGCTAACCTGAACAACGCTTTCCTACTGTCTTCGAAATATTCACTGCTAACCTCTGGATTCTAGACTCGAAGACGATTGTCATCATGAACAACATTCTTTCCCTTTGATTTATCTCCCTTTCTCTCAATTTCTCCTTTTTCTTTACTCCATTTTCCTTTAACCCTAATATCGACAAAACGATAGTTTACACGTATACAAAGCTCATAATCCTCATGATCTTACCTAGTTTCCTGATAAGGGAATACGAGGCCCATGCATTATAGCCACATTTGTGCTGTACAGTGACAAGTTTTGAGAAGAGCACTGTAAACACTTGCAAATGGGGGCCCAGTTAAATATACTCCCATTAGAACAGCGCGTCATCCCCTGGGACAAGTGGTTATGCTTAGAAAACTAATAATCAGATATGTGATACTGAACGGGATATTTATTCTAACACATCTTAATTCAGGAGTCAAACTTGTATAGGAGAAACTTCCAATCAGATGAGACAAGAAGCTATAAGATCTATAGCGGGTTTTCTACTTGTTTTATCATCACATTTCTTCTTCTTCTTCTTCTTCTTCTTCTTCTTCTTCCTCTTCTTCTTCTTCATCTTGTTTCTTCTTTTCCTCCTTTTCATATTCTTCTTCTTCGTTCCTTCTCTCTCTACTCCTACTCTTCTCCTTCGTTGTCTCATATCTCTCTCTTCATCTTCTTCGTATACACTTCCTTTTCTCCTTCTTGTTCTCATCCTTTTCTTCTTCTTTTCCTCCTATTTCTTCTGCTCCTCCTCCTCCCCCTCCTCATTTTCGTCTTCTTTTTCCTTTCCTCCTTCTCCTCCTCCTCTTTGTCGTATCCTGTACTACTTCTTTCTCCTCCTCTTCTTCTCCTCCTCTTTCTTCTTCTTCTCCTCCTCCTCATAACCTTCTTCTTTTTCCTCTCCTCCTCCTCCTCTCCTTCGTCATCTCATCCCACTGTTCTTCTTCGTATCCTCGTCCTTTTCTTCTCCTCCTTTTATCGCCCTCATTTTCCTCCTCCTCCTCCTCTTCCGACTCCTCTTCTCTTTTTTACAAGGCCCGGGGGCCACTCGATGTAGAGGATTACGTTAAGAGGTAGTTTACGTGGATAGGAGAAGATAACGGTTAACTCTAGACTTGAACACGCTAAGATTGTAGTGATCAGGGAAAATATCCTCTTGAGAATCTGTTCCACACGGCAGTGGTTCGTAGAAAGAAGCTGTTTGAGTGGAGCTTACTTCCCCCCGGATGGAATACGGGGGGGGGGAACGAGGGTGGTTTGCTACAATGTAAGTGGCATGGTAGGTCCGAGCTGTGAAGGTTAGATCTGGTGGAATCAGGAGATGCAGTTCATCTGAGCACTTTCCGTGGTAGTAGTGATAAAGCAGTGAGAGACTCAACACGTCACGTCTGTGTGTGTGTGTATGTGTGTGTGTGTGTGCGCTTGTGTGTGTGTGTGTGTGAGAGAGAGAGATTTTGTGTGTGTGAGAGAGAGTGTGTGTGTGTGTGAGAGAGAGGGGCTGGAAGGTGGAGAATAATTTTCCTTCTTCTTCTTGGACATTTCAACACTAAAAGAAAGCAAGAAGCAAAATTTTCACGCTGGAAAAATGATAATTTATTTGTTTCTCTTTCTTGTGACATTTTCAACAAGTCGACATTATTATTCTTAGTTTTTTTCTATTATTATCATTTTTCTTCTTATAATAATAATAATAATAATAATAATAATAATAATAATAATAGTGTCAATCATATCTTCTGTTATATGACACCTGAGCCTAACAAAAGCTGTTTTATTTTTATTAACATCTTTAATGTTGCTACAAGATGTTTTTCTATTTGGAGGAGATTTTTTTTTTTTGCATTTTCCTCTTCACCGTATTCCGAAATAGACTGCGTTTAATTCCAGGACATGAAGCAAAAACAATTTGCCCAGGAGATTCCAGGTCTTTGCAAGCCAAAAAAATTTAATGCTCGATTTGAACAGGGAAGGAACGAAAAAAAAAAGAGCGAAGGAAAATGACCAAAAGAGATTGGTGGAAAAAATGGTGGAAAAAAAAGGTGGCATAGAAATATGAAGGAAATTGTATACGATAGAGATATAGGGAGGGGAGAAAGGAGAGAGAAAGAGAGAGAGAGAACGAAAAGTATTAGAAAACGAGAAAGATTAAGAGAGAAAGAACGTGAGAGAAAGAGAGAAAACGACCGAGAAAGAATGAGGTAGATAGATAGATAGATAGATAGATAGATAGATAGATAGATAGATAGATGAATCCAATTCCTTTTTCTTCAGCTATAGGTTCATTAGGAAGACTTGTATCACTACATCATTATTATCTAAAAAAAATTCTTACAATCTAAAAATATTTTCTGGCTTTAAATAAACCGCAACAGGTTGATAAACCGTAAAAACGAATCAATCAGTCAATTAATCTATCAAATATTGTTTATCTACACAGGCATGTCTTTTAGATTTATTTACATTCTCTGGAATATAAATGTATAGAAAGGACCGCGGTCACAAACTGAGGGATCAGTTTATATATTGATTGTAATATAGAATTGAGCACTTACTTTATATACACATTATAATTTTTTGTTTGTTGGTAAGCTTTAGAAAATAAATCAATCAATCAAAGAAATACTGATTAGCTACACAGGTGAGGGTTCAGTTTATATATTGATTGTAATATAAAATTGACTCCTCACTTTATATCCTCATTACAATTTCTACAAATTTAGATTAGGTATGAACCCACTTCTCCTCCCCTCCAGCTATAGGTTAATTAGTAAGACCTCAAAAAAATTCTTATAATCTACAAATATTTTCTTTGAATAACTTGCAATTGGTTGATAAGTTGTAGAATATGAATGAATTAATTACTATGTTAAGTATAGTAAATGTGAAATCCAGATTAAGATGAAACTCAGATTAAATGAGAAAAACTAGGCGATTCAAACAGACGTTTAATTTTCTAACGGGAGAATGTGTTGGAGAAAAGAGATTTATATAATGAACGAATATAAAAGTGAAAAAAAGAAGCTTATGCGAAAATGAAAAAAAAAGTAATGGTGCTATTTTAAAAAGAATTTAAGAATATATATATATATATATATATATATGCAGAAATAAATGAACGATGTGTCGGGATTTGCGAACAAAGTGACGCAGATGTCACGGTTCCTCTTCTTCAACGCCATTAGAGGTGAGTAATGGCGTTCACGTGTGTTCGTTTTCTTTTCATGAAGAGAGTAATATTTCTTTCCTGTCAGTTCCGACCTTTCTCCTTTCGCGTCAGAATTCAGAATGGTAAAACGAGAATCGATTTCCAGGAAGAGAATAAGAAAAAAAAACTAATGTTTCCTTTTTTTATTTCTGTACTTGTAATTTGTTTGCCAAACTATTTATTTTCCGGTTTAAACTCTGCGGCTTCTTGTTTAATGAGTTATAAAGGACAAAGCAGAAGACAAAACAAAAGTGATAGGAAAAATGTGTAAAACGGGTTCTGGGACAAATGCAGCTAAACCATAGATATACGTGTGAACGAAAGAAGGGATACTGAATTTAAATAGTATTATTGCTACTAGTTGTAAAGAAGCAAAAGAAAAAAGATGAAAGATAAGGTAAAATGAATAATGACGATAATTCATCTAAGAAATTAAACCAACTTCAAACTATTACGTTTTACTACGAATTGTAAACCAGCAAGAGAAAGAAAGATGAGTCAAAACGAATAATAATGTCAATTATTAATCTATTTATAAAATTCTGTGAGTTCCGTTAGTCCGTCTGTCCGTTCGTCACACCCTCTAAAATAGCCATTCATTGATGGAAACAAAATTTGGGGGAGATGTGCAAACAAGTAAGAGGGGTAAAAAGTACAGTTGGTTTTACTCGAGGGCGTAGCTTTGTACATTAAATTTTCATTAATATTTTGAGAAAAATTAAAAGTTTTATTACTTAACATACAAAATACTTTCACTATTTTAGAAACAATTTAATGATTAAAACAAATACTTATTTAATAAAAATGCAATACTGTTTTTGCACATTTTTCCTTAAGTTTTCATATATAGAAGAATCCAGTTTCCAGTTCGCCCTGCGTTTGCGACAAATATAAACAAATCACAAGGTCAAAAAGGTTGGAATTTGACTCCAGAAAGAAATATTTTACGCATGGCCTATTGTATGTTGAATGCTCAAGAGTAAGAAATCCTAAGAATTTATTCTTCGTTGTTAAAAAGGAAAAAGAAATAAATTTTCTTAAAAATATATTGTTTACCGTGAAGTCCTATAAAATTAAATTGAATTAAAGAAATTATTAAACCACGTCAGAATATTTCAATATCATCTTATTTAAATATCATCAGTTGGCTTGCGAAATTGAACGAAGAGTTTGTAAATTTCGACAAAAAAAATGTTGGCGATAACCTCAACAATGTTAAATAATGTGAGGATTTGTTGCCAAAAAATTCTAGTCTATGATAATTCAGAGAATTTAAAACTATTACATTATTTTTTACGACGAGTCAAAAATTTATAATGACAATACTTCATCTAAGAAAAATGACTTACGTCCATTTCAGGTTGAAACACCTGTTCCCGTACGATCGCCGATTTTAAGCAACATCGCACCTGGTCAGTACCTAGATGGGTGACGGCTTGAGAATACCAGATGCTGGAAATATGGATGTGCGGGTGGTGTAATGGATAATGGCTCGGAATAGTTAATTAGAGAATCGAGTTTCAATTCCAATTGGGTTCGTTATATTCACTTATTCACAAATACCCCTGGGAAAAAATATGAATCAAACTCTTTTCTCTATGGGTTAATTAGCAAGCCATGTATCACTAAATCATTATTATCTGAAAGAAATTTTTACAATCTCAAAATATCTTCTGACTTTAAAAACATGCGACGGGTTGATAAGCCGTAAAAAACGAATCAATCTAATACAAACGTGGTTAATTAGTTTTTTTTCTCTTGCGACGTCATTTACTGTCACTGCATGTAATGATTCCAGTGAATAAAAATGTTCATTCATTGGTTACGTAAATTGCTATTACAACTACTACTACTATTAATAATAATTGGAAAAAATCATGTTGAAAACACTTATCTTCTGGTAGATGTTCCTGTCCCAGATAACAAAAACATATCTTTGTAAATAGTAAGAAGCCTTAGAGAGAAGTCAGTAGAATGTGTCATCTCAAGAGAACAACATTTCCTGTTATTATTAGGGTTTAGGTTAATGATATCAAATGAAGTAAACAGGTATTCAAATTCCTAGCAGATGTAAATTGCAAAAAATCATGCTCATGGGCGCTTCTAACATCTTGCATAGATTCCTCTCTATGCAATGGCCATAATTACAGCAAATTCGTACGGCTTCTATTTCTTACCGTAGAAAAATTTTCTTGTATTAATATGCAACACATCGCATATGATCCGTATTGGCTACTTTTATTTTTTCCAGTAGGGTAATTTTGCCGATTACTTCTCAGTGACGGAGAGAGTGAAATTAGTGAAAGAACATTTTTCGAGCCTTTTGCAACCCATATATTTGCTACCAAGCGAAAAGATATCACTGGAGAAATCCTTATTTACCAGGAAACCTCGCGTTCGCGGTAGTTGATGAGTTTACGAGAAAATAAAACTGCTACCTTTCCTTTTTTTAAAGCTTTTCTTTTTTCTTCTCCTCCTCCTTTTTTTTTCTTCTTCTCATCATCATCTCCTCCTGCTTTTTTTCTTCTCCTTCTTATGGTCATCTTCTTCTTCTTCTATTTCTTCTCTTCCTCCTCTTCTCCTTCTCTTCCTTGTCCTCTTCCTCCTCTTCTTCTTCTCCTCCTCCACTCCGCTTTTTTCATCTCCACCCTCCTCTATTTCTTCTTCTTCTTCTTCTACAATTTCCTTTCCTTTGTATTTCTTAAGAAATGTCTTCTTATTATCGTACTAAACCTTGTTCAGCCATTTATTTAATCAAGCTCAGCAACTATGTATTGTTTTCCTTTGTCCCTCTTGCCTTCAATCAGTCCTGTGAATGCCGAATAAAATCCTCAAGTGATGTGGCTTATTTGTACAATTCTTGTCGGGATTTTAAGTCCAACTGTTTGAGGAAAGGAAAGGTAGAAAAACTATCATGGCAGCTATTAGCATTTGGAGCGAAACCCAGCGAAGAATAAAAGAAATAATAACGACTCACTGTCGCAATTGTTTGTATCAAAAAACGCAACAAAATCACAATATGTTACTTACAAGTAATTCTCCTTGTAGAAGTAACGATAGAAAATAAAGAGTTAAGACTCTTATTAACAGTTTAAGTAACACGTCCAGTCAGCTTCGAAAGAAGGGAGCACAATCTTAACGAAGTAAGAAAAATTACAGCAACTACCACCTTTGGCTATCTATTTTAGCATTTTATATCTCTCTTCGAGCACATGTGCAAATTTTGACTCCCTTTCAATCAGATGGCGTCGACTGGAACACATTTCAATAAATTTTCTGTGAAGACGAAATAATATAATGAAAGATATTATTTCAGTATCTGTCTATATTTCTGAGATGAGATATTATGTACATTATTTACATTATTCGGACTATTGTCCTCATCTTTGTCGCCATATTTATCACAACGTTTCGGCCTTTCAGTATCTGTCTATATTTCTGAGATGAGGTATTATGTATACTATTTACATTATTCGGACTATTGTCCTCATCTTTGTAGCCATATTTATTACAACGTTTCGGCCTTTCAGTATCTGTCTATATTTCTGAGATGAGATATTATGTACATTATTTACATTATTTGGACTATTGTCCTCATCTTTGTCGCCATATTTATTACAATGTTTCGGCCTTTCAGTATCTGTCTATATTTCTGAGATGAGATATTATGTACATTATTTACATTATTTGGACTATTGTCCTCATCTTTGTTGCCATATTTATTACAATGTTTCGGCCTTTCAGTATCTGTCTATATTTCTGAGATGAGGTATTATGTACACTATTTACATTATTCGGACTATTGTCCTCATCTTTGTCGCCATATTTATTACAACATTTCGGCCTTTCAGCATCTGTCTATATTTCTGAGATGAGATATTATGTACATTATTTACATTATTTGGACTATTGTCCTCATCTTTGTCGCCATATTTATTACAACGTTTCGGCCTTTCAGTATCTGTCTATATTTCTGAGATGAGATATTATGTACATTATTTACATTATTTGGACTATTTTCCTCATCTTTGTCGCCATATTTATTATTACAACGTTTCGGCCATTGTACGCTCCGGCCTTCATCAAGGAAACATGGCACAGTGGATAAAGGTGTTAGTTAGATCCAGTAACAAGACCCAAGGAGTGTGAGTTTAATACCCGGTTAAACATGGCACGTGGAACTAGAACAGTATACCCCAGTGAGCGAAATAAAGGGTTCAGTTCGACATTCCAATCACCTGAAGAAACGTTGTAATAATAAATATGGCGACAAAGATGAGGACAATAGTCCGAATAATGTAAATAATGTAGGTATTATTTCGTCATAAGATTACAGTTGAATCCCATCATTTCTCTCCTTCCATCGAGTTTCGCTAAGCTAAGTGCAAAAAGTTTTTGTTTGTGATTCTGTTGCGGCAGCCCACAAAGTTCGAAGACGTATGGCCTTCACTACGACCCACAGGCTTCAATTTTAACGAAGACGTATGAAAGAAAGAAAATCAAATAGCAACTGGCATTGCCTAGAATTTATTCTGATCGATTTTCTTTCTTTGCGCAGGTTTATTCGTCAAGACAGCGACTAGAATAGGGTGAAAATTTATTTACTTCTTGACGTTAGAGACGGCGTTGAAACGATAGAACTCGGTGAGGGAATCTCCACTGGTTAGCGGCTAACAGCTACTTCACGTCCTCAACAAGAGATATTATATTAATCTTTTTTTTTTTTTTTAGAAATAAAGTTCACCCAATACTAGGCCCGAAAGTTACTCAAGGTAGAGAGGTACTAAATAAAGTCTATAAGAGGAGATGGTTGAAGAGAAGATTATGAGGATATGCATAGATAATGAATAAACTTTGATTTGAAGAGATTAGACTTGCATTATTTACATTATTCGGACTGTTAACCTCATCTTCATTGCCATATTCGCAACGTTTCGGCCGTTGTACGCTCCGACCTTCTTCAGGTGATTAGAATTTCGAACCGAACCCTTTATTTCGTCCACCGGGGTAGATTATTCTAGTTCTACGTGCCATGCCTCTTCCAGATGTCTCAGTCATTTCCAGAACGAAAAGTGTATACAACAGAAATCAAAGGAAATAATAATAATAATAATAATAATAATAATAATAATAATCACGGTATTGACATCCACTGAATATAAAACCCGGCATGAAGAGTTTGTTAGTATCTGCATTGAAAAATATGCAACTTCTATGGAAAGGAAACTGAAAGAAATTGGTATAAACACCACCCAGATCCGGTTACGGAAATAGGACCTGTTACAATTTTATGGGACTACACAATACACACTGACAGAACAATCAAAGCTATCCGACCAGACATTGTTATTAGAGACCGCAAACAAGACAAGTACCTCCTTATTGAAATGGCAATCCCTGCAGACTGCAATGTATCTTTGAAGATCTTCAAAAAGCTATCAAATTACAAGGACCTTGAAGTCGAAATCAAAAATATGTAGCACATGGGAACATCAACAATCCCTGTTGTAGTTGGAGCCCTCGGATTGGTTGCAAAAGATTTCAGTAGACTAATTGAAGGGATTCCTGGAAGCCCATGCCTTAAAGAAATACAAAACATTGAAGGGCTTTATCTATGTAATATTTTTTTTTGTGTCAGTGGAATATGTCATGAGGCCATTTTTAATCTTAGGTCTCTGGTTGGGACCCGGAAAAATGTGTATACAACAGAAATCAAAGGAAATAATAGAAATAATAATAATAATGATAATAATAATAATAATAATAATAATATTTATGTAAAATGTGTGTGATCTTATAGTTTTTTTTTCTTTTTTTAACGATCAATGGAAAATTTCATGATGCCATTTCTAACCTTAAGTCGCTGGTTGGGACCCGGAAGGAAATGTGTATTCAATAGTATGGTGAAACTATCTTCCGGCTTATACAGGATGCGTTTGATGATGTTATGTGCTGGAGCAAAAGATCTTTGTTCATTGACAGACGAACGTCTGTCGACGATTATGAGCGTTCTAGACGATTGTCTACAGGTATGATACCAAAAAAGAAAAAAAAGGTAACATTTCGTGAAAACATAAACGTCTGCGCAATCGTCGTTTTGTCTTACGGAATATTTCGGCGCATTTTTGGCGACGTTTTGAACATGAAATGTATTGCTGCAAAATGTTTGCCCAGAGTTCTCAGCGAAAGACCAGAAACAACGTCGAGCTGCTGTCTGCAGTGAAGTCCAAGATCCAACCAGAGATGGACCGATTTCACCCGCCAACCGACCAATTACTAACCCCACGTGTCGGTTTCATTCTTGTTCGTGTCAGTGTGCCGTAAAATCCAGGGAGGGCCCTCTGCAAGCTCACAAGGAAACGACAGATGAAAATAATCGTCACGGTGAGAAATGCGGACTCGAACACAGTTTCCACGATGCTTATGTAGTTATTCCGGGCATCACTTTTTCGGTCAAGGTGGGTAGGTAGGTGGATTACACTTGGGATAAATTTTGCCATGACAGACTAATAGATCCGCTCTTCTCTTTGACTCTTTTTCCTACAAACTCCCTGCGACATTATGACGCGCGGCCGGTAACACGAACAGGCGGCATCGAAATTACCCGAGGGACAGTCTGTACCTCGCTTAGGGCCGAACCGAATTTGCAACTTAAATTCAAACTGTGACTTTTATTATAAGGATGGGTACGGAAATTCTCGATGTCAGGATTTGTTGTCACTTGACCCCTAAATATTTTTCATTTATTTATTGATTGACTTATTCTTTTATTTCCTTCTGAGTGCCGCTCAGAAGTCTAGACTCCAAAAACATTATTGTCACCTCTCCACCTCACTGAAACATTATACTCCACCTCTTGATCTAAATCGGTCATCAGTTCATGGATATAGGCCTGAGAGAAAGCAGCTGTTGTCGTCGTGGAAACTAAAGTCCTCGCAGATAAAGAAACGCGCCATTTTCGTATAAATGGTAGCTTTTTTTACAACCAGGAATTCTCCAAAAGGAATGGTTGAGTGGAGAGTTGTAGAAACTTGCAGTCACTTGATCCTAAGAGAAAACTATAGGTTCACTAAGAACACTTTAAACATAATAACGTGCTAGTTACAATGATACTGAATAAAAATCTGGAAATCTGATCTACTAGGCAATCTCAAACGGAGATACATTCACGCCGTTGTAGGGTAGGTCACTGCTTGGAGATTAACTAAAACCCTACAGTCTATCTTGATGGAATCTACACTCGGAAGCTGAGAGCAATATTTAACATTTCTTGGAGACAACTTCCAAGTAAATTACAGTTCAATGGATCCATCCTTGATATTTCAACGTGTACTTGATCTACTGCTCTGGACACCTAGCCATGGCGCAAAATGGGCTTGTCGAGCAATCATCTACATAATTTGTGGAGAAAAATGATGCATTTCAGTATTACTCAATGAGCTTCCCGATGTGACCTCCATCTTCTGGATTTCTCCTTCTATATTTTGGATAGGAGTCATTTGTTTAAATTTAAATTTAATTTATATCAAAGGGAAAAATTTCAGTGGGGGTGAGTGCCTGCGGGGTCTCCCTTTGATCAAAATATACTTATCCAAGTGTCCTAGAAGTCATTCCCTTGATCAAATTTAAATTAAATTTATATCAAAAGTAAAAAATCACTTGGTGGTGGCGGGAGAACCCTCGGGGACCTCCTTTGATTAAAATAAGGAATTCGATAATTATAAACACACAGACAAAGGCTACAACTTTGTATATATATATATATATATATATATATATATATATATATATATATATATATATATTATGAAAGGGACAATTATTTAAAGATATTTTATGTTTATACATTATTTTTATAGATACAAATATTTAAGTAAATGATCTGTTTATAATAAACAGTATTAAACAACATTTACCGGCCTGAATGTCCGAGAAAATTTCATAGAAAATATTCGTCCTCCGACAGGAATCGAATCTGTATCCTATACGGAACCGTCATTTAGCTTGACGTGCATTTAACCGATTTGGCCACAGAGGAGCGTTCGGTTAGCAAGGTCGAATTTACTGCCTTTAAATTTCAATCTTCCATGAATCTCTCCCGTACATTCATATCTGCTCAAAGCGTATCCAAATGTAAACAAATGACGTCCCACATTATGAAATGGACAAAGTCCGACAATTGTTTTAAGACATTTTTATGTTTATTATAAAATTATTAAAAAATAGGGCATTTACATAAATAAACTGTATACATATAAAATAACGTATAAACAGAAAATGTATTAAATAAATGTCGGACTCCATCTCATTATATATATATATATATATATATATATATGAAGAAATATAGTTTTAAGGTATGGTACATTTATGGAATAAAGTGCTCAATATCAGAGATAGACCGTGTGTAAATATAAAAGTGAACATTGAAGTCAACACTTAGAGGCGACAGTCTGTTTCATGCTAGACGCAATCGTCAGGTCTGATTGCATCTAGCATGAAATAGTTTGTCGTCTCTGAGTGTGGGCACTTCTCTCTCTCTCTCTGTCTCTGTCTCTCTCTCTCTATATATATAGGCACGTTTCAGACTATTTCTATCTTTCTCTCTCGCTCTATACATATATATATACTATTTATTTTAGGATATTAAAACAAAACCATGTTAAAAATCGCAACACAATTACAATTATGTTTCAACACTACTCGAGCAATGGTAAACTACTGGCGAGTGAAAGATTATTTTAATTTCATTTTACCTAGACATATATATATATATATATATATATATATATATATATATATATATATACTCACTTTGAAGTTAAAATTTTAGGTCGTATCAATAAGTTTTATAGAAGTTATTTGATGTAGTCTAAAAAAACCGTCTGAAGTTCTTAGGCAAGTCCAAATAATCACATTTGACTTCAATAAAAACGCAATAAAATCACCAAAAATTATCAACATCTATAAGAGAACAAATAACAAACATATATAATATATGATTAATTTCCGACATGGTAGTATTAATTGCTTCCCATAAGTCTGCTTTGCTGTTATATTGTTTGCCACCTTCATATAATTTCATCTTCACAATTGTCCATAGATTTTCGATCGGATTCAGATCAGGAGTTTATGGTGGCTATTCTATTATCTTCTTTCCTGTACTCAAAGAATTCCCGGATAAACTTGAGACATGAGAAGAAGCATTTTTGTGCATAAATACACACTCCTATTTGAAACTGCGAGACTGTGACTTGTATCATACAAAGAAAGTCTTGTTCATAAAATTGTAATAGTTAGCACTGTTCAGTTTAACTCTTTCATCAACTTTGAACGGTCCAATAATGGTTTGGTCGACAATTCTAGCCCATATCATAACACTATCGCCTTCATTTATCCATAGATACATCTGAATTGGATAAAAGCCATCCTTTAGCCAATCCATCAGGTCCATCAAATGTCACTCGAGATTCGTCCATGAAAATTACTTTAGAAATTATCTTTCATGTATTTTTTGGCCTAACTTTGACACTAAAATGTTTGCTTTAGTAAGAGGAGCTTACATAGGAGATATTTTTACAGATCGAAATTCACCAAGTATTCTACACCTTTTGTCCTTCTTGATTCCTTCAATTCCAGCCATTTCAAATCTCTGAGCGCTGGTCAAAAGTCGTTGTCTCGCTTTAGTTTAATTCGCTTTAATTTATGTTCATCTCGGCGAACTTTTTTCCTTTGCTCTCAACTTATATTTTCAACTGCTTTCTTTATCATTCAATAATCTCTGCAAAGCTCCTTTGATATCTCCAATGGGGACATTCCCTCACTCAATAACTTTGTTATTTTCTGCTTTTCTCCAGTTATTAGATCCTTCCCTTTACCCATATTGCAACATATATTATGGACAAAAAGAAAAAATAGTTTTTATTAGATTTCAGAGATCTTAAGCATATAAAGTTTAATTCGTTTTAATTTATGTTCATCTCGGGGAACTTTTTTTTTGCTCTCAACTAATATAATGGACGAGTTTAAATTTAAAAAAATATTGATTCAGAATTTTTTGAGTAATTGAAGTTTATTTGATTTGCATAATAACTTCAGACAGGCTGTACGTATGTACGTACGTATCTATCTATCTATCTATCTATCTATCTATCTGAATCAGTTTGTTCATATCTATCTATCTATCTATCTATCTATCTATCTATCTATCTATCTGTATCGGTCTATACATATCTCAGTTCAAATGTATCTATTACTCTCTCTCTCTCTCTCTCTCTCTCTCTCTCTCTCTATATATATATATATATATATATATATATATATATATATAAGGCAAGGTAAATATATATATATATATACCTTGCCTTGTACTACCAATAAACGCTAAAATGGCAATTCACTTAGGCAAATAAGATTTTCCGAGTGAATACCTATTCAATTTGATATTGACAAGATCCATTTCCACACCAAATTACAATTTTGCATTAATACCTGTGTTGTGGTCTACTTCTGTTAACACACGTTCGACATCCGTATATACAATCATGTAGACAAGTTTTAAGATAACTCTATTAAGGAACAACAAGCACAACGTATAGCTTTATGAATCAGACGTTATATACATTTATATAATAATAAAATTGTATGTTCACTTATCTTGTCTCTATTTTGAGTTTATTTTTAATCATTTCATCTCAAGCAAGGCATTAAAGTCACTAAGACGCAGAGGGTTACAGAGTTTGAAAGAATATAAGAAAAGGAGTGGTATTATTAAAGAGCGAAAACAATAAAAGAACGGGAATCAAGAAGACAGATCAGAATTGACTTGCGTCTTAGAGACTTTATTACCTTGCTTTAATTCGTTATGTCTTTTTGAAACTTGTTCTTTTATTGTCCTCTATTCTTAATAATGTTTTTCTTACAGTCTTTCACTCTCAGTAATTTTTTCGATATTTTAGCATCTAGAATAAAGGCACAATATGGTAAAGTTCAAAAGGGGTCAATTTTTTTTTGTTGATAGTTTTCCCCCCATTTTTGTTCGTTATTGCTTAAAATAGAAATCTTTTGACATCCATTTTATCTCTTTTTCCTTTTCTGTCACTAACTATTGGACTATATGTGAA